CTGTGGACCTGGCTTCAGAGATCACTGGGGGAGAGGGGACTGGAGCAGAGCAGCAGGCCCGCGGTTGCGCTCTCCCACAGTCCCTGTGGCAGGGATGATCCGCGAGCTGGGCGCTTGAGACCCCCATTCTAGCCCTTGTGGATGCTCAGATGTCCTTCAAAACAGGAAACAAGTGCAACTATACAGTGTCTCCCCAGTCTGTAGTCCACTCCAGTGCATTTCCTGCTGCTCACAGCTTTTCCAAGCAGCAGAATCAAAACTGTCCTAATCTTGTCAGTTTCCAGGGGAGCTATTCAGAACTTTGCAGACAGTCATGAAACTGACAGGGATTAGGACAATTTCACTCGCCAGCACAGACAGGAACTGGAGTTTTTCACGGGGGAAGACATATAAAAATGGGGGACAGGGAAGGGTTTGTTGGGGCAAACTTGCTTAGCATCTCAGGGGATAAATAATCATAGCACATTGTGTTGAAGCACAGAGCACTGCAGTGTCAGGAGCAGTGTTGCGTGTAAGATGGCCACCCAGGAAAGATTCAGGTACCGTCCACCTGATTAGCAGAGCGCCCACAGTCGGCAGCCTGTGTTTCTACTGGTGGTGCCTATGTGCATATGCCTCAGTACACATAACCAAGTTTATTCTGCACGTGGATGGAAAAAGTTAGAGGGAACATTAGTCAGGAGCACCATCTAGCACTGGGACAAGAGATTGGGAGTCAGAGCTGAAATTTGTCACTCAGCTGCTCTGTGCCTTGTCTATAAAAGTTTACCTATCTGTAAAATGCGTAATGTAACCTGTCTCATAGGGCTGAGATGAGGTTTAATGCAGTAATATTTCGAAAATGTTTCAAGGTCTTTGGATGAAAGATGCTGCAATGTCCAAAGTGTTGTTATTCCTCATACGCTTTTTGGGATGTTACAAACAAGTCTTTAATTCTCAGCTAAATATCTACAGTTCAACTTTAAATAGAAATAAGCTTGTTTTCATTTCCTATTGGGTAGAACTGTATCTTTTGTTTAAAGGAGACTAAATCATCAAAAGAAAGGAAAAGAGATAGATATAAAAGCAAAGATCTATTTTGCTTGTTCTTACCCGAATAGAAGTTTGCAATTGGGATATAAACTGATCATAAATACTTCTGGTCATTTCAGGCTGAAGTTTATAGAAGCGATGGTAGCAGTTTGCAAACCTCTGATAACTGTGCAAAGAAGAAAAAGAAATGCAAGCCAGACAAGTGGTTTAAAATATCATACACTGGAAATTACAAAGTTACAAGACTGTAAAAGCCTCATTGAAGACTCATGTTTATATCAGAAGAGAATGAAATGGAAGTAAAAATATCCTGTAAAACTGGCCATAATTAACATGTATACTAGTTGGTCTAACAAAAGAGCACCAAATTACAAAGGTTTGGTTTAGTTCAAAAGAACAGAACAAAATTTCTACACACAGTCACCTGTAAATGGCCAAATTCTGTACTTAGTGATATCTACACAACTCCTCTGAAATCAGCAGAAACACAGTGGTATAACTAAAGACAATATTTGGCTAAACCAGAGAGGTTTTCCTTCCTTTCCTTTTGTCAAGCTGCGCTGATGGTATATAGCAACTGAAATCAGGAAAGCACTTTAGAAACCTTTCATGTACAAAGAGATCTAGACTAGTAGTCAGTTTCATCTCCTTTACAAGCAGAAATGCTGCAAGAGCAGCTGAATCCATGCAGCATCTGGTGGGAGATTAGGGGAAAACAAGAGGAAACCATAGGGCTACATCTAGACTAGCATGATTTTCCGGAAATGCTTTTAACAGAAAAGTTTTCTGTTAAAAGCATTTTCGGAAAAGAGCGTCTAGATTGGCACGGACGCTTTTCCGCAAAAGCACTTTTTGCGGAAAAGCATCCGTGCCAATCTAGACACGCTTTTCCGCAAAAAGGCCCCAATTGCCATTTTCGCGATCGGGGCTTTTTTGCAGAAAACAAATCTGAGCTGTCTACACTGGCCGTTTTGCGCAAAAGGACATTTGCCCAAATGGGAGCAGCATAGTATTTCCGCAAGAAGCACTGATTTCTTACAGTAGGAAGTCAGTGCTTTTGTGGAAATTCAAGCGGCCAGTGTAGACAGCTGGCAAGTTTTTCCAGAAAAGCGGCTGATTTTCCGGAAAAACTGGCCAGTCTAGACACAGCCTAGGTGTTGATCTGCACTTACTGCTAACCCTGTGTTTGGGATGGGTGAATCTAGACAAGTGATGAGTTTTCCCCACAACTGGGCACTAGGAATGTAAAATTGCAATCATTTAAACGATTAACGGATAAACATCAGCTTATCAGTTTCTGTTACAGTTATATGCTGGCATCCACACCAGCTGCCAACCCTACTCCCAGGGAGCCAGCTTCACTGTGGGCTCTGCAGTATAACTCCTGGGGAGCTGGCTGTCACCTGGTGCTGCAGGCTCTGCAGTATGAAAGTTATACTGCAGAGCCCACAGTGTGTGTAACTGCTAGGATTTTTAGTGGTTGCATGGTTATCTTTCTAAATGATTTTTTACATTCCTACTAAGCACCTGGCCCATGAATTGTTTAGGAGGCACAAGAAGAGAGTGGAACAACTGAGCGAGTACTCACTTGGCTATGCCTTAAGATCTAGGGAGGGGGAGGGGGCTCTACATCTCAAGGAAATACAAGGCAGATGCCTGAACATTACCAGAGCTTTCTTGTTTGCCTTTCCCCACAGAATTACATTCACAGCAGCAGTCTACCCACAAGCATCACGATATCCCAGACCTTAGAACAATTAGTGTGTGATATTGGACTTTAAAAAAAAATTGCTCTGATGTTCCTATGCTCCTTATTGGATCAGGTGGAGGGAGAGGGGGAAAGTGGGAATCACCAGGTCCTAATATAAGGATGTAAAAACTTGTTTACAAACGTAACTGTGTAACTGCTAAATATTCTAGTGGATACATGATTACACATGTTGTGGGCTCTGCGCTTATATAGAAGCTTTATACTGAACAGCCCACAGCAAAGGTGGGCTACCAGGAGCGAAGCTGGCAAAGACTATAGTGAAGTCTCCCTGGGAGCGGGGCCACTGGCCAGCAGGGGCTGGCGGGCCTGCTCCCCGGGGAAGCCAATGTGTAACCTACAGCAGAGGGCCCGGGCCAGATTCACCACGGACAAGGGTTACTCTAGCCGACTGGAGCAGACCCTGCCTGTGGTGGGCCCTATTGAGCTGGAGCAGCCCCCTGCCCAGGGTGGGTGGGGACATGCTCCAGCCCCTACTAGTTAATTAGAACTGGCCAGCATCTCCATTACCGGTTAACCCTTTACATCCCTATCCTAGATAAAGGGGAGAGCAGGTGAATTGATGTGACTGCCTGGAGGGGGCTACTGAGCTAGCCTGCAGGCAAGATGTGCCCTTCTCACACAAGGCTGGGCAGCCAGCTTTAGCAGTGCCCATTACTAGGGCCTCCAGGGCTCAGCCACAGCACATGGGAGAGGAGCCAGACTCCGGCTAACTGCAGCCCTCTCCACAAGTCTCGCGCGATTGCTTCCCAAGTCTCGCGACACTCCCCAGCCCTTCCTCACCTCTCGCGAGATTTCACCCCTCCTTCCCGTTCTCGCGAGATGTCGTTCCCTCACCTGCCGGCGGCCACCAGCTTCTCCAGGAAAGCGTCCACCACGGTGTTGAAGAGCTGCCCGCGGCCCGGATCCTCCTCTTGGGCCGGCAGGGAAGCAGCACCGCCGGCGGCCACCTCACCGTCCGCCAGCGCCGACCCTTCGCTACCAGCCGCCGCCATCTTGAACCGCCAAAAAGTCTTCAAGCGCTCGGATAGCCCCGCCCTCGCGTCTCCTTATTGGCTGAAGCAGCCGCTCTGCTCCTAGTGGTGAAGTCTTGTGTCAATCATGGCAGAAAGCCCCGCCCCGTGGCAACACGTGGCCTGGTTCCCTTTGTCCTTTTCCAGCTGCAGCCCTGCCTAGGTCCTCAGCCAGCTCCTGCTCCAGCGGGCAATGCCCCGGGTTTGCTGGCTTCCCGCCCTGCAGAGCGGTACAGCTGGGGCCCCACGGTAAAGCCACACGATCCTCCATTCTAAGATGGGAAGAGGGGGCAGGAGGTCCAAGCTGGCTCTGCACTGGCGCCAACTCTTTCAATTTTCTAATTTTCGTTCGAGGTTGCTATTCCCTTGTTTTTTCCTCAGGCCAGGTGATCAAAACCAGCTTGTGATCGTCACGGAAAGTTTCCCCTCTTCTGAACGTGGAGGAAAGCTGGCAAAGGGGACAGCTGTGCATTCTGCAGCTATGGAAACTAGGAAACAAAGCACTAGCAGCCTGAAAGCTGTTTGGGGCAGGAATCAGCTTTGTGCTCTGTGTCTGTACAGCCCTTATCAAGAGACTCCAAGCTGACTAGAGGTGTCCATAACTCTTAAAAAAAAACAACCAAAAATCTAATAGTGTAAGTGGCCCAGGGTTTAAAATGCAGGACAATGTAGCACTTTAAAGACTAACAAGATGGTTTATTAGATGATGAGCTTTCGTGGGCCAGACCCACTTCCTCAGATCAAATAGTGGAAGAAAGTAGTCACAACCATATATACCAAAGGATACAATTTAAAAAAATGAACAAATATGAAAAGGACAAATCACATTGCAGAACAGAAGGGGGATGCGGGGGGGTGGGAAGGGGGAGGAAGGAAGGTAAGTGTCTGTGAATTGCTGATATTAAAGGTAGGGAGAGTGGGATGTTTGTGAGTTAATGGTATTACAGGTGATAATTGGGGAAACTGTCTTGGTAATGGGTGAGAAAGTTCAAAGACTTGTTAAGTCCTTGTTGGTAAGTGTCGAATTTTAACATGAATGACAGTTCAGAGGATTCCCTTTCAAGTGCAGATGTAAAAGGTCTTTGTAGCAGAATGCAGGTGGCTAAGTCATTTAGAGAGTGTCCTTTCTGGTTAAAGTGGCAAGAAACTGTTTTCTCTTTGTGATCTTGTCTGATATCTGTTTTGTGGGCATTAATCCTTTGGCGAAGTGTCTGAGATGTTTGTCCAATGTACATAGCAGACGGACACTTTCGGCACACGATAGCATAGATTATATTTCTGGATGCGCAGGAATATGTGTTCTTGATCTTATAGCTCACTTGGTTAGGTCCAATAATGGTATCAGCAGAATGAATATGTGGACAAAGCTGGCAACGGGGTTTGTTGCAAGGGAAGGTACCAGGGTTGGTATTAGTGTGGTATGTCCTGTGGTGGTTGGTAAGAATGATCTTGAGGTTAGGTGGTTGTCTGTAGGAGACTATGGGTCTGTCTCCCAGAGGCTCTTTGAGTATGGTATCCTGTTCCAATATAGGCTGTAGTTTATTGATAATGTGTTGGACAGGTTTAAGTTGGGGGTTGTAGGTGATGACAAGTGGTGTTCTATTGTTGGTTTTCTTGGGTCTGTCTTGAAGTAGATGGTTTCTAGGTATTCGTCTGGCTCTTTCAATTTGCTTTTTTATTTCTCCGGGTGGGTAGTTGAGGTTTATAAATGCTTGGTAGAGATCCTGAAGCTTCTGGTCTCTGTCAGTGGGATTAGAGCAGATGCAGTTGTATCAAAGGGCTTGGCTATAGATGATGGCTCCTATGGTGTGTGCTGGATGGGAGCTGGAAGCATGTAGGTAACTGTATGAGTCAGTGAGTTTTCTGTAGAGGGTGGTGTCTAATTTTCCATTGTTGATTTGTACTGTGGTTTAAAAGTAATCTCAGGTTATAGGGACCTAACAAGAGGTTTGAGCACATGTGCTTAGTGGTATTAGGAAAGTCTCTTCTGTGTGCCAGTTTCCCTTCTCTGCCATCTCAAGGGCACATGACTTGATTCACATTTGTAACATGCTGTGCAATAAACTTACCTTTTTCTGCACTCTTCTGGGAGAGAAACGAGGTGGGGAGAATACCATTACAAATACACTTACAGAAGGAAACCAAGACCTGGAAACAATTACAAAAGCAGCCAAGCTTCTTGCCCAGATGCACTCATTAGTTAGAATAATATAGTTAAAAAAGTGGTCCTGTGGCACTTTAGAGACATAAAAATATATAGGATCATGAGCTTCTGTGGGTAAGATCCAATTCATCAGATGAGCTGGGGAATATACTTGATGATGGTCTCACAAAGATCTTGAAATTGAGTAGTTATTGGAACTGTTAAAACAATGAACGCTTGGGAGTATAAAAAAAGGGAAACCTTTTAATTCAGTTTTGATCTTCTACCACCACCATCCAGTCCTTCCCCCTCTCCATGCAAACACATACTATATATAGTTCTTCTATAGCAGATCCCTGGGACTTGGCCCAGCTGACATATTGGCCCCTGGTGAAAGTATGAATGGAAGCATCTCTAACATTAGCTTCCTCTTACCTCACAAGAGTTCATCTGAGGGTACAAGAGTCTTCTCTTTTGCATTTCCTATCAGCAAGAGCAGCCTCTAGCTTCCTCTTACCTCACAAGAGTTCAGCCGGGGGTACAAGAGCCTTCTCTTTTGCATTTCCTGTCAGCAAGAGCAGCCTGTCTGTGTTATTAGTCTGACACTACCCCTTCAGCCTCCACATCCAGTGGGAGCATTTTGAGATAGGACCTCATTGTGCTAGGTGCTGTACAAACCATGTTATGACAGGTCCCTATCTGATTGAGTCTTAGGTGCTACTGGAAAAAAAAACCTTAAGCAACAAATAGCACCTTAGAGACTAACAGAAAAATGTAGCTAGTATCAGCAGCTTTTGTGGGCACAACCTACTGAATTAAGTGTTTAACAAACTCCCTGAGCCTTCATTCTTTTGCACACATGTAAGTCAAGTGTAACTCCATTGAAGTAAAGGGAATTAACAGGTTTATATTAGGGATGTTAAATTTAGATTAATCGGCTCTGCCTTCGAAGTGTAGCAACAGCAAAAGTGCTGTGAGGAAGCACAAGACCAGTAGAGTCCCCCGCTGGCCCTATGCTCCCTGTGGTGTTTCAAAGTGGCAGTGCTGCATGGAACCTAGGGCATTTGCTTATCAGATAGTCGACTAGTCATTTACATTCCTAGTTTATACTGGTGTAAATTGAGGAGAATCAGGCTGCATCTCAAGTTTCACTTTGACTATCCCACCTTAGATGTTCTAGAGAGAAATGTAACAAAATCTAGGGCTTCAGTCAATGAAATGTTAAACAAAATAGGTAATTATCAGAACCTTCAGAGGGTAGAAAAAAGTTAACTTGCAAACTCTGCAATATGGAAATTACTTAAACCAAGATAGATACATAATGAGAATCAAATAAATAATAAAAGCTTTAATGAATTACACAAAGACATATTACAGTGCAACAGTGAAACCTGTTAAATGTACACAATACATTCACCCAGTATCTGATTTTAGAACAGGCATCGAGTCGTATCATTCTATACTCCCATTGCAACAGACGTAGGCAGTCAAATTCCAGCATCATGGCTTTCAAACTCCCAAACTCATTCAAAGATTGTATTGCGTTGGGACACTTCTTTATTCCAGCCCAACAGTTCCTCCAAAACAATGGAAGCCCTACAATGTTCCATTCCCAGATTTCTTCTTGCAGACTGGTATGCGGGTATGGGAAAGTTCAGCTGATATCACCATATTTAATAAAAAATAAGATTGGGCCTGAGAGAGCGGCAAGACTTCAAAATACTCCATTATCTAGAGGGGCTTGCACTTAGGATAAAGACATGCATAGATTTCATCAGGAAACAATTCTATCCACTCATCAGTTTACAGACAGGGTGGCCACTACTGTACATAGAAACCCGCAGCACATCAGAAAGGTTGGGAGTAAGGGCATCAAGAATAAATTGACAAGATCATAAAATGTGAGCAAAATTCATTGGAAATACTGTACTACCACAAGTTGACACAGTAGAGATTAGCATAGTCACTCCACAGTTGATAAATGCCCTTGAGCAGAAAAAAACTAACCCAAATGAACAGAACCACAAAGGGATTGAAATGCTTCATCTGCCAGAAAAGATAAAGAGTTATAGCCAGTACAGGCTGATTAGCACAATATACTATAATTCTCTTGTGACATCCCCAGTGGAAACCTCTGCCTGATTCAGATCTGAAGGACTGATTGGATATATTTAAGGCTTGATGGTTTAATGAGTGATCAATTAAATCTGAGCTATGTGGGGAAGAATAATCATCCAAACAGGACAAAACAGATTGCTAGAGATGCCAGGTTCCTGCAGAAAAACAGAAGGAAAACAGATTGCCTACATTTTTGTGCAGGAAAAAAACCCAAAACACACATTTGTAAAAGTTAAATCCAGACTAGCTGAACTATATATCAATACAAAGGGACGCTTTACTTGCTATCTAGTCAGTTTCAAGTATTACACGTGCCTCTGTCTGTTTTTCTACAAGGTTTAACCTTGCATGGTGCTTAAATTTGACACTCTGCACAGAATCATTTTCACTGTGCAACTATAATCACTTTATCAGTGATAATTTCTCCTATTGCTGTGTGGAGGCAGATTTGTAAATAAGAAATTGCTGTGAACAGGGATGTTAACTGGTATGAGCCTTACTGGTATGCTTACCAGTTAACCAGCCCTTGGCCAATTAACTCTAGCAGTGGCCAGCCATGCCAGGCCAGAGCAGCCATAACCATCGCAGGGCCAAATGAGATTCTGGCTGCTGTACAACTGGGCGGCAGGACCTAGGTTAAGAGTTAACCGGTTAAGTGCTATCTTTTAACAGGTTAACCCTTTTAACATCCCTGGTTGTGAAATCACAAAATTGGCAGAGGGATTCTCAGGCAAGTATAGAACTTGAGCCTACTTTCAATTCTTTTTAAGTTGACTACATTTCAAGATGGAGTCTCTAAAATTTTTTAAATTTGACAATGCCCTTTAGAGGCATAATCTCTTCTCCTCCCACAAAAAGCTATCCTCTCACCTGTTAGAAATTGTCAGATATTGATGTTTTTAGAGAAAGGGTCCTCACAGGGTCCTTCTGCAGATCAAGATAACTGATACTATACAGACACCCCAAAATCAAACTAGGGATGTTAAACGGTTAATAATGTAATCATGTAACCGTTAAAAATCTTAACGATTACACAGTTAGTTACACGCTGCAGGCTCTGCAGTATAAAGCTTATACTGTAGAGCCCACAGTGTAGCTGGCGTCCTGGGAGCAAGGCTAGCAGCCAGTGCGCATCAGGAGCCAGCTCCTGGGTGCTGGCTTGGCTCCTGGGAAGCTGACTGCGCTGTAGTTTCATATTGCAGAGCCCGCAGCATGGGGTGAAAGCTGGCTTCCTAGGAACAGGGCCGGCAGTTGGAGCCAGTGTGCACCAGGAACTAGCTTACTAGCACACCAGCTCCCAACCCCACTCCTGGTGAGCCAGCTGCTGACTCACGCTGCAAGTACTGATACAGAGCCAGCAGTGTGGGGGCAGCAGCCAGCTCCCTATGAATGAGGTCAGAAATTGGTGTGCAACCATTATGGAAACCGATAAGCTTATCAGTTAACCATTTAAACCTTACATCCCTAAATCGAACCATGTCAGATCTTGAAAGACAGCATAACAACCTTCACTGCAAAACATACAATTATGGAATGAGATTTCAAACACAAATACCTTTAATCAAAAACAGAGAAAACAAGCCCAGAGAGCTGTTTGTTAAATACGCAGCTTAAGAGTGGGTTCGTCACACTGGCTCAAGTGTGATATGGCTCATTTGACGAGCCCAGCTTTTTTCAATTGCTGAAGCAACTTTTAGTGGCATTACCAGCTTCTATGTGCTGTTTGAAGACAACTATTTTTAAAACATTGTATTGTGTAACATTTAGTCCATTATAGCCACATTTTGCCCTCAAATCCACAGACTTCAGTGACAGCTGCCTGTCTGGACTTCGGAGAGGAGATTTTGACCAATTTGGTCAGTGCTTTTCAACTTGTTTAGGATCCGTTTCTGGCAACTGTAACCCAATGTCTGCTGTGTAAGAGAGGTCACTCGGTTCAGTTAATAAAACAAATGCCAGTTAAAAAGAGCATCATGACTCCAGAGTATTTGAAACAGTTACCCACTAGAGATCATAAATTACCTGCCTTAGTCAAGAAAGCCACCTGTTTTCAAATGAAAGAGGGCTAATTTATTATGGGATACAATTTCAGTTTTCTTACAGTGTTAAAGCCCACAGTACTATGTTTGGCACCTCACCTCCATAACCATTTATGAGGTTTCATCTGTATGGTTTATGTAACATACAGAAACCAATGTGCTCCTCTTGCTGCATTCCCAGGAACAGATAACTCATGATCCCAGATAATTTGAATACAATTTTGTCCATATTTACAGTTTTAGGATCCACTTTTTTCCATCCTGCAAGTCTGTGTGGTTCGATTGATATTGTCCTTTTCCACAATCTTTCCTTTTAAGGGAACGGGATTTGATACCGGACTTTGGACCATAGTGTGTTGAAGATGGGAGTCCTACACACCTTGTGTTCATGCATATAGCTTGACGGAGAACAGAGTCAGGGTCAGATGTACCAGCTGGTGGCCTGCTGCCCTTCTCACCTCTGTCTAGTTCCTGATGTGATATCCAGCACCTTGATGTGTTAGCATCTCATGCCTGTGGGTTATCCTCATAACACTCCATGTGAAGGGTACTATTTTCTCCATGTCAGAGAATGGAAACTGAAGTACAGTGACTGAACAATTTGCCCAGTGTCACACAGGAAGTCTGTGCCTTAATGATGAACCTCAGGGCCTGACTCCATCCACAGTGGAAACCAAGAGCTCCTCAAGTCTGTGGATCTGGGGAGCCCTGTGCTCTACTGAGGGCTAGAACAGGGTCAGCACTAAGGCAGTGAGAGAGGAAAACAGCAGCCAAATACCAGTCTGAGGTATAAGTACCAGTTATTTGAAAGCAGGGGGTTATCTGCTTTATCTTACCAACCCCCCAACCTCTGACAAGCTAGGAAAAAGCTTGAGGACCAGATTCTGCTCTCCATCACAGGATGCATGTCTAGGGTAATGTGACTAAGAAAAGAATCGGACTCCCTGAGTACAGGCTCTCGCTCACAACTTGATTCAGAACCTTAAGTCTGATAAGAGACAAGCCAGAGTTTGGAATAAGCTTTTCTCTAAAACAAAATAGATGAAAATCCCTTTCCTCTCCCACAGAGGCAGAATTTTGATCTATTTTGTAGTACTGAACTGTTACTCAGTAGTTAATAGGTGCACACCTATCGGGTATGCATGCGCTGGACGGAAAGGAAGAAGCAATTTTCCTTCTCACAGCCTATGCTCACTAAAGCAAGTTCAGTTCCTGCTTCTCAGTCACATCCAGTTCAATGTGCCCCTAACGGAGCAATTGGGCATTTCCATCAATCTCTGGATTTGTTTGTGCTTAGAGAAATTAAGGATGGGGAACAGCAGACATTTCCATTGGCTGTAGAATATTTACACTCACATTTGCCAAGGCCACAGAGTAACTAGTCAGTCCCTCAATAAATTGTCCTCTCATCCCCACATCACCATGAAATTTTAAAAAAATAAATAAGAAAGATGATTAAAACCTGGATTAGGAAGCATAATTGCCATTAGCTAAAAGAAGCAAACACCTCAAATGCTACTTAACTCTCATGTGCATCAAAACACCAGCTTGGACATTTGGAAGTTATGTGAGGAAATGAAATAGTTTGCAAGCATATACAAAAATTATGCACAGAGTTATTCAGAAAGTGGTAGGCAAGGTCTTAAAACTGATCTAGGTATTTGTTATTCTCTTCCCTCAAGTTTTAAACATAAAAAGATGTTTGAGAAAAGTTTTTACTATATACATATATAATATATATATTTTTCACCTCCCACAATACCCCTGCAATAAGCAGACTTTCCACCAGGAGGCCCTGCTCGAGTTTGTATATTTCTCCCCATATGGAAATTTGGCAAAATTAAAAGATTAAAATTCATTTCAAGAATGAAACTTTTTTTTTCTCTTTTTGCTTAAACTGACAGTCTTTAATTTGAAAGAGATCAGGAAAATGTTAGGTTTCACTCACACACTTGGTTGTCTTTGAATGACTTGTCAGTCAAAAGCTTTGCCGTGGTTCCCCCCCCAGACAGACAGCAGTAGAAAGTTGTGTTGCAATCAGATCTGAGGAAGTGACAGCAGCTGCTCTTGACTTTTTCCTTTGCTGGGAAACCACACAATCCTGTAATCGAGGGAGATCCCCTCTTTCGGTGAGCTTTTAAGCACCGTTTGAGTCCATAGGGTTTATAAGAAACTCTCTCATTCACTGTTTGCTACCAATGTCTAGAGTCCACAAGCTCCGGGCGGAGGCTCAACTTCTTCAGAGTTTCGTACCCCACCACTATGACAATGGTGGAAGGGGTGGCCGATATGATGCGGGCGGAAAGGCCTTTAGTGAGGCCCCAGGGACCTTCCTCTGCCATTAGTTGCTTGAAAGTGAGAATGATGGAGTTCTTGCCTTCTACCTGCAAAGTCAAGAATGAAACAGGAGAGGCAATTGCTCAGAGAGGCAGCACCAGCAGGTAGCCTGGGCAGTGGAAGACAAAACAACTGCATGAGGGTTGCACAAGGGATTATTCTGCCGAGATCCTTCAAGAGGCCCACCACTGAACTGCTTTCTGGTTTTAATTTGAGGGGAAATCACAGAAACTAGAGCATCAATGACCAGACTTGAAGTCCCTCCAGTCTGGTGTCCTTGATTGGACAGTTGCCAGAACCAGCTACTTCAAAGAAAGATGCAAGAAACCCAAAAGGAGGCTCTAACTGGGTAAACCCACAGTCACACTCTGCCTCAGTTTCCTCACTCCCACGTAACCCGCTCACATACTGGTGGGAGTTTCACTGGCATCAGGATTTCATTCCCTTTCCAAATAATCCATTTACTCAAACAGTTCATTGCACAGTTAAATCAGATATTGCCACATGAACCCTCCTAAGGCCCATGCCTAGAAGGGCTGCTGCTGCCTATACAGTGAGATCCTGAGTCACATCTTGCACCTGGCTAATATAGCAAGCTACCTTCTAGGTCCTTTCCCTAGCCCAAGGAATCCTACAGGAGCCTCTCTGCAGCTCTTCCAACCAACTGGGATCCTTGGATTTTACATCACAATCTGCGGCGCAGCTAATGTGTCTTATGTGCAACTAAATCCACTTCCCTTAAAGGACCAGCCCATCTGGTGACAAGGCAGTGATGGAACAACCTGCCCGTAGTGGCGTTTGAGCACTTGCGTTAATGTTTGTTCCATCCCCCTATGCATTTACATAACAGACCCCACAAGCCCCGAGTTTGTCTTGCAACACCATTTCACTTCCTGCTGGGTGCTCCCCAAAGTAAGGATGTTAAATTTAGATTAATAAGCTAATTGAATAGTTGATGCAATTTGCATCGACTGTTTGAATAGTCGATAAGGGCACCTCCGCCTTTGAAGTGTAGCAACAGCTCTGCTGGTTCTTGCTACAGTTCAAAGGCGGACACACCATGGGGCACAGGGGGTGAGCATGGGACTCAAGCAGTCCCCCGCTGGCCCCATGCGCCCCGCTTCTGAAATGTATAAGAGCCCCAGAAGGGGCTCTTGCACATTTCAAAAGCAAAACACGCACGGGGAGGACCATGCCAGCAGGGGACTCAAGCAGGCCCTCACACCCGGCTTTTGAAATGTACGAGAGCCCGCATATGCTTATTGGATAGTCAACTAGTCTCTTACATCTCTAACCCAGAAGTAGCTGCCTTTCAGCACTGCTACATGTATATAATTTGGGGATGAAAATGTACACTGTAGGGTTAAGTTATTCTGGCTGGCTCTCTGCTCCCTGCCTCGCATCAGCTCATACTGATGTTGTTACAGCCTGCAGAGCAGAGGTGGGAGATCAGGAGAAGTGAAGAGGAAAAACAAAGTATGAGCTTTGACCAACATGAACACAGTTTCACAGAAGCAGCATGGGACTAAAATTGGGTGGGTATTTTTGTGCCCATTAGGTTAGGAAATAACCAAATAAAATACACTGGAGAAGCAGGCTGGTATAACTGAATTTAAACTGTAGCAGAGTTATAACAAAGACTCTATGACCATTGGGGACAGATCTTCCCCCTCAGAACTGTGCTACAGATTCACCGAGAAGACAGTCCATAGCAGGGGTGCACTCAGATTTTGGAAAGTAGTCGAGGGCTGCACTCTTCCCTGATATTAATGGAGGAGATGCAAGGTCTAGGATGGAGGTTGGGTGCAGAATAAGGATGTTAAGTAGTGTGTAATTCACTAATCGAATAGTCAATGCATTTTTGGTCACAGCTGCACAGATCAGTGGCAAAGCTGGGACAAAACTTTTGCTTTGTGATTCCAAGTCCAGTCCTCCAGACACTTCACCATCACTACCTTTAGGCTGAGTTCTTACCTGCACACGAGCCCTGATAACGTCCATGGGGTTGGTGAGAGTGGATGCCGTTGCAGCTGCTAGAGGCCCAGAGATAGCTTGGAGAAGGAGGTGTGGACAGTCTCTAGGTGTCAGACGAGAGAGCTGTTCTGCGAACAGGAGGGAGAGTAAAGTTACAGATGCATGTGTATACATGTACATACCCTGTACTTCCTTCCAGCCAGAACTCCCAGTATTCACTCATAACACTACTTCTTGCAACATCCCTCCAAGCAGAGAATGACACGTTCTCTAAAGCAGCAGGTGTGGGTGCCATACCTTTCTTCATTCTTTTACTTTTTAGTACGTTAAACAACATCCTGGGTAGTTTTTAAATACACACACTGCAATGTGAGGGATGTTGCTGCAGGAAAGAGGTAATCAATCATAGGATCATGGAAATGTAGAGCTGGAAGGGACCTTGAGAGGTCCTCAAATCCAGTCCCCTGCATTAAGACAGGACCACATAAACCATCTCTGACAGGTGTTTGCCCAACCACTTCTTAGAAACCACTAATGATGGAGATTCCACAACCTCCCTTGGAAGTCTGTTCCAGATAACTTCCCTGATACAGGCTGAACCTCTCGAGTCTGGCACTCTCTGGTCCAGCAACATCCATGGTCTGGCATGACTTTAGTTAGCCAGATGTCCACTGATCATGGGCTTCGCCAAGTCTTCCGCAGTCCTATAAAGTTTACAGCCACCAGTCCTGGCTCGCAGTGTTCTGTGCTGTTATTTAGCTCTAATTTACCCCTATCTTCTAAGAGCCCAATAAACAGTGGAAGTGCTAGTAAGGCTGCTAGACAATATTGGCCTCCAATGGTTTGGCAAATTATCTGGTTTGGCAGCTATCAGGTCCTGAGGGTGCTGGACTAGAGAGGTTCCAACCTATAGTTAGAAAGGTTTTTGTAATATCCAATATAAATCTCTCTTGCTGAAGATTTAGCCCATTACTTGTCCTACCATCAGTAGACATGGGCAATAATCAATCACTACCCTCTTTATAACATGCCTGATTTTGTAAGTGAGTTAAGTGAGGTGAAACTTAGGGGCACACAAGACAAGACAGACTCCTGAAATGAGTATGGTAGTCTGGAAAGGATGAGAGCCACTGAAGTAACACTAGGCTTGGCACTAGGTTTAAAACCAATCAAACACAAACATATCTTGTTTAGATGCACAATTGCAGCTGAACTTACTTGTAGCTCCACCCTGGTTCTGCCAAGGGATTTCACACTCTAGAAGCCTTTTTGCTGCCTAAAGACAACTGGATTTCACACTTGGGAAAGCAGGAGTCTTATGTATGCAGCAGCTTTAATTTTCAAAATATCGTGTGACCATCAGCTCCTCCACACGCCACTATCTGAGGGGCAAGTCCTGGCAGATGTGCCAAGTGACTTGCCCAAGGCCCCACACAGTGTAGATGAGCTGGGATTAATACTCACATTCCTGGCTCCCAATCCTGTGTTTAGACCAGCGGTCCTCAACCTTTTTCTTTCCGAGGCCCCCCCCAACAAGTTATAAAAACTCCAAAGCCCACTTGTGCCACAACAATGGTTTTCTGCATACCCAGTAGATTAAAAGCCAGGATCAGTATTAAGGGGGATGCAAGCAGGGCAACTGCTCAGGGCCCCATGCCACAGGGGGCCCTGTGAAGGTTAGTTGCTCAGACTTCGGCTTCAGGTCCAGGTGGTGGAGCTCATGTTACAGCTTTTTGCCCTGGGTCCTAGCAAGTCTAACACAGAGCCCGCTCTCCAGCTGATTTTAGCAGGCCCCCTGAAACTGGTGCACTGCCCCCCAGGGGCCCAGGCCCCTAGCTGAGAACCACTGGGTTAGACCATGCTACCCCATTCCGGTGTGGAGGTCTATCAATGCTTCACACTGCACTAACTGAGGAAAGTGATCAAATGGCTATAAGCCAGCTGACCCGAGAGATAATGGCTGCTCAATGTTCTCGTGGACAGTCATGCTTCCTTGACCCACTCTCTGCTAACGTGCCCTGTGGGAAACACTGTTCCCACCCCATGGCAGTTCAGGAGCACCAGTATGAATCTCTTTGGTGTGGCGGTGATCTCATTTACAGAGGTGCCAGCCATGCTCCGAGATGCGTAGGGGTATTTATGAAAAAAATCATCCCCAGACAGCGAGAAGGGGTGGATTGGCTGAAGGGAAGCTGCCCTCCTATGCTGCCCAGGGCCATTAATTACCTTGGCTTGTTCTGGGCTTGGGCAGCTTCCCCCAGATGCTCCCTTCTCCTCTCCTTTCTCTGTTGCATTCCCTCTCCTCTGCCTCCTCCGCAGTCTGCATGGGGAGGGTCTGACAGGAAGCAAACTGCAGTGATTGTCATTGTGGGGCTTGGGGTGTTAGATTCCCCACCTAAGCCACAGGCTGCATGTTACGCTCTACCACCCCAGGCAGTCCCTGCTGGCACTC